AATCGCACTTCACGAAAGGGTAAATTTAACACGCTATCAGTGTGAATTGATTAAAATATATAGACATGACGTTGTATGACTGTTTTCGTATCCTACCTGGCTTATGCGACATTTATTAACAATTTATCCCCGAATGTGACGGTGTATACAGATAAACGAGGCAACCAATTCGGAAAACGTTTGCCGTCACGGTGGCTGAAATTAACAACACTACGATAAAAACTTTCCATTTGCCGACATTGTTCTTTCGGTGTTTTTTTTGAGTAAACAAAAAAAAAAACAGAAAAATATAATTTGCATAAGGTAATTCAGAAATTTATATTGGGAATAATTCATAACGAAATGTATTCCCCATGCACCCATGAATAATCATGATTTTTATAATTACCGATTACACAAGAATATTTCAGAAAAAAGATAATTTGCTATATTCTGTATACTTTTTGCTTTTTATTTGTCTCGAATTATGACTGAAAGAAACTGAATGATATTACACACTATGTAGTGTGTTCAACAACACATGTATGAACAATAACTTTAATAAATATGATTTCACTTGGTAAAAATACTATATTTTTCTGCATAAAAACGAAAGAATTTCACAATGTCGAAAACGGAAAGTCTTTATCGCAGTGTTTAACAGTGTTTTTTGCCCGAGTGCGTCATATAATGAACTGTTTCGTTCGTGGCCAGTCGTATAGGAAACATTACAAATCGTCTTTCATTTGCCTATATATATCATATCACGGCATAACATGTAAATATCTGATATGAAAACAATATAAAATCATAACGGTCCTATCGACTTCATAAAATACAAAGTATTCCCAATTTGTCTCCACACTGGCCGGTTTCGATAATCTACCACCGGTTCTTACATAGAAATCCCGCCCTCTAGCGGTAAAGTGCATGCCTATGTAAGTATCTACGTGTAAGAATGACGCAATTCACATCGATCTAAGGTTTTTCATTCGTCAAATATTTCAGATCTAAAAGACGAACGTCTTTACAACCAAACAGTTGTCGCTACCCTATTGAGAAGGTGTATTAGTTCGTTGGTTCCCGGCGTTCCTTGCGAATGGAAAGTAGGACGCAGGTAACTCGTAATCGCCATATTGCTCCACTTAGCCGGGATTCCGTCCCAAAAGCACGTGACCAAGAGACGTAATTTGAAAACATTCTAATAGTCGCTTTGCGTAAAAAAACGCTTCATTACTGTAATAACGCCATGCCGATACAGTCTGCCAGCAAGGACTTAATATTTGAGATGGTTCTGGCATTTCTCGCTGTTTCTGTACAAATTGATAATTAAAGAAACAGTTTTTTATTCGCCCAACTTTCGAAAATAAAAGGAACCCCCTGAACAGCCACGACCGAGTTACAGTGGCTGAAATGATACGGGTGGAAATCGACAACTGATATACGTATCCACACGATTTTATAGGGGGAATAGTTTCTGTTTCAGTATATGCATAGAACTCATTTGCATATTCGAATGTGTTCGAACTACAAGATCCCGTCGGTTAACACGGTTACGCTTAAGCCACCGTGTTACTTCAATCACTTTAATAAAACATTTTACGTCCTAAATCTGAAAGAACTGTTCGGTTAATTCAATTAAAACATACATGTTTTACGCTTGGAAAGTGCAATCCTTTCAAAGTTATCAAGACATTAGATTATACAATAAATTGCTAACTTTATAAACTTATTAGAACCAGTGTGTTCTATAACTGTTAGACGCAGAGAATCGAATCCGTTCAAGCTAGAAATAGTATTGAAATATTCACCAGAAAACAAGACGAACGGGGTTGTTAGGAAATCCCTCCGAGTAAAATTAGTGTTTAATGTTTCTTTCCCCATCTTATGTACATAAACAGAACGCTGTTTTCCCTAGTTTTAGTTTATCACGTGCGCCATTTCACTACAATAACATTACCTTGCAAAACATAGTCTGTGATAAAATGGTTCGTATTTACGTTTCTACTGAAGTCTGACATTAATAAATAGTTCGGATGTCACATACGTTTTCAGATGTAAAAACTACAGGAAAATGGCCGTGCGTAGTGAGGTGATTGACCACAAAATTGAAGGCTGCCTGTGGCAGAGGCTCTATTGCGTAAAGCGCAAAGGCCTCTGGGAAGGAGATTGGTACCATGCATTTCTATGGGCTCTGTGCGCGCTGCTGTGGAACGCCGGACGAGCCGGTGAAAATTCGAGAAAACAACACAAACTCAACTTTGAAGTAATCCTGAACAACCAAATTTATATATGTTACACACGCAGGGCTAATCTTGTTTAACACTGTTCAGGGGAGTCTCAACCAACCATCCCAAAGTACCGTTTCTTGCGAGTTTTTGGCCTTTGTTTTCACCGCGATGGTTGCCAGGCGGTGAAAATGCCCGGATGTCCGCCCCTGAGGATTGAATGAGTGCAAATAGACCTTCTAATAGCAAGTCGCGCCCTCAAGCAGCGAAATATGTATGTGACGTCGTAAGTGGGTGAAGGTTAATGTGGAGAACTAGTTTGGCAATTTGGTCTTTCGTCATTTAAAACTTGACAAATATATTAAAACAGTATGTATTATTGGCGAACTCAGATCAAAACAACATCGTCCGATAGGAATAATGCATTATGTGTAGAAATCATTTGAAGGATTTAACCAGCAACTTTCGTACCGCACTATTTTTGTCCGGTTGTCGACGTTATTATTATGATGTGAGACAATACATAAACCATTGCATTTATTTGTCGCTATTAGAATTCGACATTTGATGTATGTCCTACTAGTATCTCACAGTGCAAAGACTAGTTTTCGATTGATGATATAACGAACGAACAAGCAAAGGAACCACGCAATTGTTCGTGCGCATACGTTGTAAGTTACCCGTGCGTACTAACAATTTAAAGCGACAGCGCGGTTGCGTAGTTTATTGTTTCGTCAAATTACGGGGGTTTTAAAACATGATCGTTGGCATAATTCAGAATAAATCACGATTTACAACATTTATAAACATGAATTCTAAGTAGTACTGAACTTATGTGTTCAGATTGTCCCGAAGTGTCCCCCTCGCTGTGTGCGCAGGTTGTCCAGATTTCTGGGGCGACTATCGAGCCACACTAGGATCTAAAATATACTTTAAAGTTGTTTACCATATTTGAAAAACTCCGATGTTTAATTTCCCAGTCCCGTTTGTTAATATCACTGTATGCATTGGTTTTGTGTTGTATCGTCCCAATGCCGTTTCGGCCCAATGCTGTTTCTCTCTGGTACTGTTTCGTCCCGGTGCTGTTTCGCCACAAAGCTGCTTCGCCCTTAAATGTTTCGCCCCAAACAGCTGTTTCGTGCCAGTCAATATTTCCGAGTAGATCAAGAACCACGCACATTAGCTGGACTAAACCATTCTCTTCAAAGGGTGGACAGAACAAACGAACATGGTATTAGACATGTAATCACTTGTCAATGTTTGACAGGTGGTCCATGAGTCAATCGCGGACCACTCAGACTCCTCGGTGAATGACGTAATGATCATGACTATCGGCCATGTTATATGGCTGCCTTTATTGCACCCTCTTTCTCTCTCCCTCTCTCTCTCTCTTGGGTACGCCTTGCAGTTTTTAGATAACATATGTATTGAGAACGGTATTTAGTCTGGTACTGGTAGAAGACGACTCACGCATAAAATACTCAAAATGTATTCATTTTATAATAAATTGTACTCTAAGGCAATACAATGATAATGACTTTAAAAAACATTTAGGAGGGGTCACCAGTTTAATTTTCGAGAAAATGGTGGTTGTATTTTAGTAGATAGTGGCTATTTTGGCAGTATTATAACGCTTTTATAGGTTTCTGTGGCGGAGATATTATGCCATATCTCAAATTGTAGGCTGGTGAGAGAAAAAAAATCATATATTGTTTATGATAGGATACCTTTTGTTGTTCTGAATTATTTAAAAAATTTGACAAAGTGTCAAAAAATGCATTTTTTTAACATAGTTCAAAAATAACGATTTAAAAAAAAAAATATTAGAGAAAGTTTGTCTAAATACGTCACTGTAACACAAAGAATGCTATTCCATGGGACAATAACTCCACGATTTTACATAATAAACCAATGAACATTGTCATGATAAACTTTCTAAAACAAAATGTGAGTAGGGTTCAATCTAAAACAAATAGCTAAGTAGCAATATATACTTATAGGAAAAAAATAAATGATAATTGCAAACCGATTTACCATTAAATGACAAAATATTTAAGCCACTTTGCTTAAAAAAATGGCACATACCCTGACAATAAATAGTTTCCATAATCGTGTCTTATTTTTTGATCATTTAGACCAAAATATTTGTGATGAATACAAATTTGATAGTACCGCAGCTGATACGAGTTTGTCATTCTAACTTGAACTTCTATTAGTCTTTCATTAGACTGTGACGTCATATGTTGCAATATGTTCTCACGGAGGTTCATGCCTCGATCGTTCTACTAGTTTACACTGGTTCACTTAAACTATAATTGCCCTGACTGGTGAGGGCGTAACTGGTTGAA